ATCCAGAACTGTGCTATATCCAGAACTGTGCTATATCCAGAGCCATGATGAGAATGACCAGCCCTTGAGTAACTACAACAGGTTTGGGGTACCTGCTTAGGAAGGGCATGCAGGGAAAGGGTTGGTATACGTAACACCCCCTGCCCGTTGGACAGCGTAAATTGAGATTTAAAGTTAAACTTCGTCATTCAGGGGCAGACGCGGATGTATGTACTGAGATGTTAATGACTGAGGTTAAGTAAGGGAAGTTCAAGTTCAGTATTATTGTAAAATCATGTAGATCAATGTACACACGCAGTGTCACGCACTGCGTGCACACACACACACACACACACACACACACACACACACACACACACACACAGAAAACTTACCTCAACTATCATGGAGTACTCGAGCACACTAAATAAAACACACAATACGAATCAAGTTTGGTCAAAACGTAACCTAGAAATAGTAATCACCATGTAGTAATTAAAAGTAAGGGATAGGGTGATAGACTAAGATACACATGTATATGTGTAAGAATGTAGGAATATAGTATTCACTTATTTATTTTTTGCACTTTGGAGCTGTAAATAGTATATTTGTGTATGAAAGTCAGGGGAACATGTTATGCACAAGTGAGCATGTTATATAAAGCCTTCTGTTTAACATATAAGCCAACAAGATTCTGTCCAATTGCCATGTACAATTGCTGTACTACTTCTACATGCCAAAGGTTTTTTGCTACTACAGCTGAACTTCTATAACTATATCTACATGTTCTGAAGAAAGTATTGTAAGTATATATTCAGTCACTAATTATAAGAACAAGCCTTTTTAAGGTTATTTGCAGAAGGGAGCTGATGTTTAGACTGTTGCATTTAGTCACAACTATAGCTATAGACCAGTACTCTCGGTACATGTAGGATGAATTTTAAAAGGTATGAATACCCTAAAAACAACATTATTTAGAATACTATTATTTGTGTATTGAGCAATATGTTTGATGATACCTGTTAGTGGACCCCTTAGTGGTTGCATCAGGTTTATTTAAGTTTTTGTGCACAACCAAGATACAACTGGGGTAGGGCCAAAGTGATAGGGATGACATCAGATGCACCCATTGTATGGATAAAAAAATTGTGACAAACTATACATGTAGGAGGGCCTGCATGGGGGGTAGTGATTACGAATTACGCAAAATTCTCGCCGCCTATTACGAATTACGTTAAAGTATCAGAGCTGATTACGACTTTTCTATTTGCAGCTAATGTACTATTACGAATTACGTTGATTTTTGCGGAGGCTGCCTACGAATTACGGAGTCTAAAAAGGCCTGATTACGCCTTACGAAAAAGGGCATGCAGGCCCTCTTGTAGACTTGGTCATGTTTGGCATTGCAGTCCTCACACTGCAGCAGCGACATCTAGCTGGATTGTGAGGTACTGCATCATTGACATCTAGCTGCAGTGTAAAGTACAACCAGCCCCATTGAAGGGGGGAAGACATCAAACGTTACCAAAATGTTGGCTAGGTTTGAACACTTGGCCGTATGCTAAGGGACCTTCCCGGTGTGAGTGGTTCAAACCTTACAGTCTAGTCACAGGTTTGACATGTTGAAAAGGTGATAGTCACCTGTTATGTCAATCCTTACACAAATGTGGTAAATTTCAATAAATGAATGAACAGACCACTATAACCAATTTGGTAAGATACTGTATTGGGTGATTTGTGACACAAAAGAATGTGTATTGTATATTTTTTGTTGCTGCGTAGGTGCCATAATATATACACGTGTACAATGTATTTGTACTGGTAGTTCAGGTTTAAATAAAAGTTTGTCAAAAGTTTGTTGGTTGGCATATCCTTTCCATCTAATGGTATTGATATCATAATTTCGCCAGCAGCTCTAAATAGTTATTGCAAAAACCAAGGAATAAAATTGGTGCGACGTAACCATGGTAACAGGCGTAACCCAACAGCCCAGATTTGCGTGCACCGGAAGTTGCGTCCACAGAAACCGCCTCCATGCGGTTCGCATACGATTTGCACCCCGATCACCGGAAGTTGCGTACATGCCCCTGGAAGCGCCCCTTGCGGCGGGGATGCGCACCTGCAGGTGTAAACAGACCGTGTCTGACCGTGCGCGGGATCGGCAAGGGGACAAACTCAAACAAAGGCCTTCCGTCTCACAACAACAACATCTTCGCAGCCCCCAAGACTTCTTGGAGAAAGACACCCAGGTCACCGTCTTGGAAGGAAAGCCACCCACCTTACGTGAGTACTTAAAACTGTTTTATATAACGTGTCTACAGACCGTTTTGGCCCGAGGTTCCGTCTGAGGTTAGCCTGGGTGCCAGGCTGCTCCAAGGGCCTACACAGGCCAGCTCCTCGGCTTCAGGGGCAACATGCCCCCAAGGAAATTTTATCACAACCCTAGAGTCTGGATGCTGGCTAACTCGGGGTAGGGACAGAAGTTCGATAAGCTTCTCCAGAAGTGTATAGCTAAGAAGGGTAGCATAGCGGCCTAGCGCCATGGGTCTGGAATCGAGGCTAGTGTACGCGCAGGAAGCTAGCCAGGGCAGCCCGTTTATTGAATGAAGATGTGTCAGTCAGTCAGTCTTGGCTTGTGTTGTTGCCAGCCAAAACACTTCAAGGCTTTGTCTGAGGAACAACTTGTAGTCAGAGGCCCCAACCTGCACCAACAATGTTGAAACCTACTCTCCAAGCAGAGGTTGATGGTGGAAGATCGTTTGCTTTTTGTATATGGCCTTTTTTTTTGTGTCTCCACCACCACTTGGGTGGGGAAATGGTTACAGACTGGCCAATTTGACACTGTCTTAGTTACCCCAACAAAAGATCTGCTTGGAGATTAGTTGAAACCATTCATGAACCAGCCAGGGAGCCAAGTAAACTGTTTACAAACTAAAGTATGCGTGTCTTTGGCTCAACTCCGTCGGAATCCGAAAGCAGCGATCTACAAGCAGATGTTGTGAGGCTACCGGCGCATGTTTCTGTTACAATCTACCTTCCTAAGGAAACAACCAGATATATTTTGCCTTTAACTTTTAGCTTGAATGAATGAACGGTTTATTTCAGTTGACATCTCGCAGCCATTTGGCTGAATTACGTACAACTTACAAAAATCATTTACATGTCTCTAACTGAATCACATCAAAATTTAAAGTGTTACAAATTACACAAAAATAAAGTAAAATAGTAGTCTCTACCAGACTAACTACGCTGGCTATATATATAGGAGAATATTTGTCAGGGGAGTTTGGCCGCCTTGTAGGTTTGACTGGCCGCGTAGGAAAAGAAACTACCTCCCTGCGGCCGGACTCCCTTGGCCAATTTTACTCCCTTTTTTGCCGAATTCTACGATCCCGTATTCGCGTAGAAAGGCCCGGTGGAGGCTAGTAAAGTAGAATGGCTGATGAAAAGCGGAAGGACGGTTTGTTTAGCATCCTGGTCAGCAGTTTTTAAACCCAAGGATGTGCCTGGTGAGTGTCTATCGGGCCGATCTGATGCACACACGCGCCAGGGCCGGCTGCTGACATCCGCTGATAGGTCCTGATCTAGCCTGGGTGCCAGACGCTAGCGTTCATAAAGCGATAGATTTTTTTTGTGTCCGCTACTGTATCCGCCGCCCAACCCCAGGCTGCCCCAAACCCAATATCTTTCACGCTAGCGCGAGGAGATAATTAGAGCCAGTGTGCAAATCAGGGTCGGCGGGGCGTGTGCCTTTCCCGGGCCGAGGAATTATCGCCGACTCGCGGTAGGGGATGGCACCCAGGCTAGTCCTGATCCGGAGATACCATCGCTGCTGAGCAACATGCGCGACAAGTGGCACTGTTGTCTCCAGAACTGTGATTTATCCAGAACCATGCTCAGGCAGCATAGTTCACACAATTCCAGAACCGTTCCTATCTATAGTTCACTGCCTGAACGGCTTAATCTCCCAGCAGATCCTAGGGTGGCAAAAGACAGTATCGAATTGGCCAGGCAGTATCCATTGGCCAGAGAGGGTCCAATACGATACCTAAGGGTGCCTCTCTAGACTCTGGCCAATACCGCCTGGCCAGCTTGACATTGTCTTTTGCCACCCTAGGATCTGCTTGGAGATTACCCAGAACCGTGCTCTATCCAGAAACAATGCTCAGATAGCATAGTTCACAAGTATCCAGAACCGTGCCTGGAGCAAATCTAAGTTCCTGTACTCGCTATTGATATAGAAGAAGAACCATTGAAGTGAAGGTTAAAGAAGTTTAAAAGGTTAACCAGCAAGTAGTATGCAAGCAAATGGATCGCGTGCCGGAAACAAAGAAACGACACATTTGCCCCTTCGGCTGCCTGGCGTAAAAAAAAGGATTTTACTAAAGAAAGACTGACAAAAACGCCCGAAAACACGCCAAAAATAAGCCGAAACCGTACAATTTGCCAGGCAGTTACAATTTGCTATCTAGCTGGCTTTAAAAAAATTACCAGTACAAAAAGAAAGCCTGATAAAACGCATAAATCACGTCAAAAATAAGACGAATCCTGAACCTCTACTATATGATAGTAGAGGGGCACCACATTTTTTCGCAGGAATTTGCAGTTATCTGAGATCAACTAAAAGTATTTATTTATTAGAACCGACGCTGAACCGTCGACATCTAGCCCCCACCCGGCCTTTCTACGGGAATACGGATCGTAGAATTCGGCACTGAAAAAAAAAGTAAAATTGGCCAAGGGAGTCCGGCCGCGGGGAGGTAGTTTCTTTAACTGCCCGGCCCATTCAAACCTACAAGGCGGCCAAACTCCCCTGGCAATTATTCTCCTATATTAATATAACCAGCGTAGTTTATAGTCTGGTAGAGTCTAGTCGACACCAAGGTCTTTTGACAGAACTATTGCAGTTCAGGGACGGACCACTAATACCGGTTTTCGGCGGCTCCTTGGACTGATTACGTTCAAGTCACGCGCCAAGGCCAAAGCCACATCCTCTTCGCCTTGAACAAGGTCATGGCCAGCTTAACCTCGAACCCAGGCCTCTTGGGAGAGGCTGTTATCGTCAAGTCTGCACCAGACTCCTTTGCAGGCTGAATAAGTAGTAGAATAAATACATGTAGTAGAAGTCGTGCAGGCAAGTTGGACCCTCTTTGGCCGACTATTAAACTCCACTTAGCTTGGTCAGCTACTGTACATTCCGTTTAGGCCTTTTTACCTTCGCCAATAAGGTTATGTTTTCGTTGGCGTTCGTGTGTGTGTGTGTGTGTGTGTGTGTGTGTGTGTGTGTGTGTGTGTGTGTGTGTGTGTGTGTGTGTGTGTGTGTGTGTCTGTGTGTGTGTGTGTGTGTGTGTGTGTGTGTGTGTGTGTGTGCATGTGTGTGTGTGTCTGTGTGTGTGTGTGTGTGAACACGATAACTCGAGAAGACTTAAATGGCTTGTCTTGATATTTGGTAGGTGGGTAGATCTTGGTGAGACCTCAAAATGATTAGATGTTGGACCCCCTAGCGGCTTGTTATGGAGCTGCAGCTGAACTTCCGGTTTTGATATCTCGTGATCTGGGCAGGCTAGGATCACGAAATTTGGATGGTAGTTAGCGCTTGGGCAAGGAAAGAAATGGCCTGAGTTTGGGCCCCCTAGCAGCTTGTTTTACTATTTATTTAGCCTGCAAAAGAGTCTGGTGGAGACTATCTATCGTCCATTTCGTCACACGCTGTCTACATACCGACCAGCGGGTGTACTGTTACCTCACTTGACCTCTCGCTACTTTTCAGCACTCTTCAAGCAGAGGTTGCTGGGAAAGATTGTGACCCTTCTCTGATCCTCTGAGCACGTGCACCGTTTACTTTCTGACAGCCGGCCACAATTAGCCATGGCGCCCTTTTGGATTCTGTCTTGTCTATTGGATACGACTTGCTTTGCCATCGCATCGTATCCAATAATAGGCAAGATCTGCTTGGAAACGAACTTTGAGTTAAATTGTGACATAAGGACGGGACAACTCAACACGTCGGTTGAGCCGAGACCTTCGGTCCTGTTGCCGGCGGCACTTTGACTTTAGAGAAGCCGAGTGCCTTTTGGTTTCTGTAGCCGATACTCACTGTACATGTGTGCTATCTCTACTCTCTGGTTCTTATTAGTGGAGAGAAGAAATCTAGGGACAAACCTTGGTGGATCTGGGGGAAGATTACTTGTGTATTTCTGCTGAAGGGCAAAAGCTGCAAAACTTTGAACATTTTGGGCAGCAAGGGAATGTGTTGTCCCACAAAAAACGAAAGAAAAAAACAGAGAGGACAAAAAGACAGAAAAAGAAAGTAAGATATATACATACATCAAATTACGAAGCTACGTGCACTCTGATATTATTTGCAGTAAAATCACGTAAATTTTCTTCAGAAAAATAAGCGAATCCGGTAAAACGTTCGTGTGTGCCGTGGCGGATACTGTTAAAAAATAAACAACTTTCGTCTGAATTTTCCGGTGGTAAAACTTTCTTTCGTCTAAATTTTCTCTTGTTCTCGCCGACACAATCTTTGTACTTTCCCTTCGGCGGGTTTCAGACTCTCCCAATTTGCAGGGACGGTGACTTCTTAGCCCCCACCAGGCCTTTCTACGGGAATACGGATCGTAGAATTCGGCAAAAAAAGAGAGCAAAATTGGCCAAGGGAGTCCGGCCGCGAGGAGGTAGTTTCTTTCCCTCCGAACTGCGCGGCCAGTCAAACCTACAAGGCGGCCAAACTCCCCAGGCCAGCGTAGTTAGTCTGGTAGAGACTAGGACCTTCCCCTGGCCTTCCGCGGATTCAGACTCTGCCAATTTGCAGGGCCGGTGACTCCTGTTCAAGCGGGACGTTTGATTGAAGTTCCGTCACCGCACAGGGACAAGCGTTTCCGCTCTGTCTGGGGTTTGGGCCGCGGAAACCTGCTTCTGTGGAAAACAGCGTCAACTTATTTAGCTTACTCTCCAAGCAGAGGTTTGGGTTTTGTGGGTATTTTGTAGCGTGTTTTTATGCTTTTTTTATCAGGGTTTCTCTTTTGCACTGAATTTTTTTGGTGGGAACAAAATTCAGTGCAAAAAACGAGAAACCGCGATAAAAAAAGCCTTAAAAACACGCTAAAAACACCCCCAAAACCCAAACCTCTGCTTGGAGAGTAATTTAGCTGTCATGCACGTAACCATGTATTTTTGCGTGGGGGGGGGGGTCTTCCCACTGTCTGAGAGACCAGTGAGAGTTTCCTAGGGGGTCTGGAGACATCTTCTAGAAAATTTTGAAAATTGAACCTTTTGAAAAGGGCATTTCCTGCGTTTTCGTGAGGATTTCAAAGGAAAAATCAGAGATAAGTTCTTTTTTTTTTCAATAACAAAATACCCAGCTTTTCGAGGATTTTAACCTCGCTTGTGATACAAATCAGCTAGTCCACCTTTTTAAGAAAAATCTCGGACCTTAAGATAAAAATTGGACCTTTCGACGAAGGTTGTAGCATGTCTCAACTACCGGACTTGTTTTCAAAACAACATCACGAAGTAGGTTCATAAATCTTCACTCGCCAAAATAAAGACTACTTAGTACTTGTTTCCTTTCCCTGCCAGAACCCGAATAAAGACCATCGTTGTTTGTTGAAGAAAACACTTTTCTCTCTTGCTTGTTCCTGTCAAACAGCCAGACCGGAAGCGATCGTCTGTGCAAAGTCTGAGCACCTGCCAACTTCCGGTTGTTTGGCGTCGTTAAAACGTTTTAAGAGGCCCTCTAAACAAACGTACATTGTATACTACTCTCCAAGCAGAGGTTGTGGGGGAATTATCGTTACCTTTTTATATATGGCCGTTTTTTTTGTCGGTGGCTAATGGATACTGCCTGGCCAATTTGATACTGTCTTTTTGCCACCGAGAGGGATCTGCTTGGAGATAAATTGTATACAACCTTACAGTAAGGCCACAGCAAGTAAATTTTTGGGGTAACATCCTCCGCAGACGGCCAAATCTATTAAATGGGAGAGCGCGAAGAAACATGATGGACAAAGAAAAGATTGCAAGTTACCAACTTCGAAAAAATTTGAAACACTTGCTTTGCTTTTGAGAAAGTTTAGAATCGTCGTTGTATGCCCATATACCTAGCGTCGGCGTTCTTTGTTTTCTGTATGCTCGACTGGAAGCATGGGTCAAGCAATTGGTAAAAAAAAAAGTGTAAAAGAGTGTATTACCACATGGTTCCGCTAGATGACGCCCATAGATTGAAGATATTTGAACTGGTGAACACATCACCCAATCTGGTACACAGTACGATACATTCCATGAATTATTGTCATGTCCAACTACCATATCTGCTTACGTAGGCCAATTTCTGTACACTTTATTCCATAAGCGAGAACATATCATCAATGCATGACTATATGGTAACTCTAATACTGTTTAGATAGTAGTTTGTAGTAAGTAAAGTTTTGTAGTATTGTTGTATTACTACCATACATTGTACCTTGTACGATTGTTGAGCAATAAAGTTCATTCAATCTTTCTGGTCTGAGATACTGACTCTTGCGTTGTTGTTATTTTCTTCAGAAGAACTACACAACTTCCAGCAGGTGTCATCTAGGAAATAAAGGCTCGAAATGACGTTGTGGAGATTTGTCTGCGTCATCGTTGCCATGGCGACGGCGACCTGGGACAGATGCCACGCGCAGGACCCGGATGATGACACCATGGGCGCGTTTGAACGCATTCTCAAGGTCAACAAGGAAGGTCAGGAATTTTGAACTTTTTTGTGATGTTGTGAGACAGAATGCGTCTCCACGGAGTAGCTATTTCTTGTAGTGTGTTTCGTTAAAAATATTCGTCAAAAATAATAAGTGTGTTTGTGTCTTTATTCACTGTTAGATTTCAGGAAGGCATTACGTTGGTTTTATAAGCCGATTCACGGTTCGACCTGCGCATTCGCGAGGTCAAACGTGAAGGTGAAAACTGATGGTTGATCGCTGATATGTAAGGCCACACCGACTTAATTTTATCGATGCCATCCTCTGAAAAAGGTTATAGGGCTAGTTAACCTTTTCCTTCCTTTTCCCGTTGAATATATTGATCAATAGTTTTTGTCTTCTTTTGTCCAGCCGAGACCCTGAGCCCTGAACTCGGCGAGGCTCCGTTCGAGGGAGACATCGCTCTGCAGTCGTGGCTACCTGCTGTTAGCCTATTGCCCAGTCGTATCCTGTAGCTGTATTACTTTTCCCCCTTCCTATTTGAGTAGGGCAGCGACTCGGAGAGCCGGTCCCGAACCAAGATAGACTGGACGTCGTTGGTATGACCAATAGAATCATCTGAACGTTTGTACTATTTCTGTTACTAACGTTATATTATGTATTGTTTCTGTGCAGGGAGCGTTGAAAACCGCCATTGGCGATATGCCGCCCTGGATAAATAAATAAAATGAAATTAAATGAACGTGTCCTGTCCCTGTCCAGCGGAGACCCTGAGCCCTGAACTCGGCGAGGCGCCGTTTGAGGGAGACATCGCCCTGCAGTCCTGGCAGCGTCAGGCGATTCAGGCACAGCTACAGAACCAGCGGGCGGGGGACGAAGCCGCGCTGGCTGTTGCCGCTCTGGCGACGCTCCGCTGGCCCAAGGGCGTCATACCTTACACCATCGACTGCAGCCTGGGTATGCCAGGAACCTCTTACCCTGGGTGCCAGACAAGAGGGCCTGCAAGGGGGGGGGGGTCCCCGACAGCGCTCTACGCTGAATTCGGAAACCTCTCGATTACGCTTTACGATAAATTCCAAGTGGCCACAACGCATAATTTACGTAGAATTAAAACGGCGAATTACGCTCTACGGAAAATGCGAAGAGCGGTCCCTCTACGCTCTACGTAGAATTAAAACGGCCGATTACGCTCTACGGAAAAGGGCTTGCGGGCCCCCAGCCAAGTTTACGGGCCGCTAGCCGTTTCCTTCGGTAGCCAGAAGCCCCTCGCCCGCAGACCTAAATTTCCGCTACGGGGGAGTTGAGCCCGTGGGGAGGTTTCGGCCCAGCCAAACTCCCCCCGGGCTAGACTCTCCCGAAGCGGTAATTTACACCAACGGGCGAGGGGCTCTTGCGGCCCAGAAAACGAGTTCTGGCTTCCAGGGTATGAACCTCTAGCCTCTACCAGGCTTTGGGAGACGGCCGGAAAGAGTAGAAATTGGCCAAATAGAGAGATAACATTCCAGGGGAGAACACCCGGGTGTACTCTCTAGCGGACCAACTTCCCCGGCATGTTATCTGTCTATGCGGCCAATTTCTACTCTTTCCAGCCGCTTCAGAAGCCTAGTAGAGGCTAGTAAGTCACCACAACTAACCCTCAACCTTCTCTCTGTTGCCTAGCCCCGTAAGTTACCAATATAAATCTGGTACCAAAGGGCTACTTCAGCAGTGAGAAGGTTAACCAAAAGGCCACTTAAATTTGAGCCTTTAACTCTGATCTCCTACCAGATGTTTGGATGGCAAAATCGTAACAAAACCGGCAGGCCGTATCCACCGCACTTGTCAAACGATTTTGACTGAAACATCTGCATGGAGGTTATTTAAACCTATCAGTATCACCATAATGGTGTATTGGGTAACAATGAAAAATGAGCACGAGGGCAAAGATAACTGCACGACTCCGCTTTTTTTAAAATGAAAACTAACAGCCTGAATGTTAATGGCTGTCATATATCTCTGCACGATAAAAATGCCACAGTTAAATCAATTTTGAGCACCTCTATGACACTCATTCCAACTCCTAATACCAAACCGCAACCCTCAAATTCCCGTAAACAGGATCCTGTTCCATCACGCCACAAGGTCATTGACATGGGATAAATTCCTGACCCACAAAGTCACGGACTTAAGATTCCAGGAACAGGTTCATGCCCTCTCGGTTATTGACCTGAGATTCCCGGAACAGGTTCCTGTCCCGTCATGCCCTCTCGGTCATTGACCTGAGATTCCCGGAACAGGTTCCTTTCCTGCACGTCCTCTCGGTCATTGACCTGAGATTCCCGGAACAGGTTCCTTTCCTGCACGTCCTCTCGGTCATTGACCTGAGATTCCCGGAACAGGTGTCTGTCCGATCGGTCATTGACCAGAGATTCCCGTCCACTCACGTGCACGTCCTCTCGGTCATTGACCTGAGATTCCCGGAACAGGTTCCTGTTCCCACACGCCCTCTCGGTCATTGACCTGAGATTCCCGGAACAGGTTCCTGTCCCGTCACGCCCTCTCGGTCATTGACCTGAGATTCCCGGAACAGGTTCCTTTCCTGCACGCCCTCTCGGTCATTGACCTGAGATTCCCGGAACGGGCTTCGGCTCTTTCGGGTCGCCAGGTCAATGACCTCGAATTCCCGGAACAGGTCCCTGTCGGCATCCGCACTCTCGCACGGGCAGGGCAGCCGTCCCACCTCACGTGGCCGGACTCTCCATGCGGTGGCCAAAAGGCGTCATTCCATATACCATAGACTGCAGTCTGCGTGAGTATAAATACCCTGGAAGCCAGAACTCGTTTTCCGGGCCGCAAGAGCCCTTCGCCCGCTGGTGTAAATTACCGCTACTGGGGAGTCTAGCCCGGGGGAGTTTGGCTGGCCGTAAAGGGCCGGACATAACCACTCGGGCTCAACTCCCCCGTAGCGGTAACTTAGATAGGCGGGCGAAGGGCTCTTGGCTGCCGAAGGAAAACGGCTAACGGCCCGATACTAGTTAGGTATCCAGGGTAGAGTATATATGGGTAGCCCAAGCAAGCGATGTCTGGGCCCCATATTAAATCAAAGAAAAATTTTAAAACTAAATTAAATTTTTAATGCAGAGATATATATAGTTTTCATTAACACTGACGTTTTTTGATTCACTAATAACATTTTGTGGATATACCACTTCAAACGGCCACGTTTAAAATGATTATCACTGAAAGGATAAGGTTAACTGATGAATAAGCTCCGCGTATCTCCATGTCCCCCGCATGTATGGCACTGATGTTCCTACCTGTAAACTGTTTGTAAAGACAGAAAAACACTAGTCTCCACCAGACTAAAAACGCGGGTTCAAAAACTGTAGAATTTAGCCAAAAAGGGAAAATAATTGGCCGGGGGAGTTATGCCATTGTTTGACTCTCCTGGCCAAGTATATCCAGTTTGTGCCGAATTCTGCGATCCGCACCTAGCCTCCTTTCTAGATCTTTCTATGGGAATACGGATCGCAGCATTAGGCAAAAAGGAGACTAAAATTGGCCAGGTCCGTGGAAGGTTGATTCTTTACCTCCGAAGGCCATTCAAACCCCAAGGCGGTCAAACTCCCCTGGCAAATATTCTCCTATGTATAGCTAGCGTAGTTAGTCTGGTAGAGACTAGTCCGTACCCCGTAGGAATGCCTGATGGAGGCTAGAGAAACACTGATTTTGGACGTTTTCTGCCCGTCCTGTTGAAGAGAACATCCCTGCCGCCCTGACCGCCATCCGGACCGCCATGAGGCAGTGGGAGGACCGGACCTGCATCCGATTCGTCAAGAGGACGACAGAGAAGGACTACCTCGACTTCTACAGGCACAAATAGTACGTAACAAACAAACAAACAAATAAAGTATATATACACACAAGAGGGACTACCTGGACTTCTACAGACACAAATAGTAAGTAACAAAAAAACAAAAACGTGAACAAACAGATACACTTAAACAAACATAATGGACTACCTGGACTTCTACAGGCACAAATAGTAAGTAACAGACAAACAAACAAACAAACAAACACGTAAACAAATTATTACACACACATTGACAAACATAACGGACTACCTGGACTTCTACAGGCACAAATAGTGCGTAACAAACAAACAAACAAACAAACAAACAAACACGTAAAGAAAACACTAAACAAACATACACATAAACACACATACGTACACACACAGAGACACAAACACACACGCGCGCGCACATACACGCACATGCAGGCACACACACACACACACACATTTAAACAAACAAGCATTACGGACTACCTGGCCTTCTACAGGCACAAATAGTGAGTAACAAACAAACAAACAAACACGCAAACAACACACACACACACACTTAACAAACAAGCTACCAGGACCTCTGCCGGCAAAAAATAGTGCGTAACAAACAAAAACGAAAAGAAACTTTACGAAATACACGTTAACGAACATACAAACATAGCGTACTACGTGGCTTTCTTCAGGCACAAATAGTGAAAAACAAGCAAATTTATACGTAAACACAATCAGTGAACGCATAGACCTCACTTAGCCTGTCTTTCACTTTCCACTGTGCTGTTGGAAGGAATGGAAGATCGATAAACACCGATAATTTGGTATTACCTTGTGTTCCCCAGCTGCCAGGGCCGGATCGGCGGTCGACAGAGGCTGTCGGTCGGTAACGGCTGCGAGTTCAAACAAACAAATAAACAAACAAACAAACAAACACATAACACATCTTAATTTGGTCTATCAGATACTTTTGACCCAGTGTAGACGTCACACTTCAAAGAAACCACGTGACAAGCCTCATTGGGTCAGTCTACTGAGGAAGACCACAGTGACTGGTCGAAAGCTCTAGGTGAGAGAACTTTTTGTGTTGGACGAAAAGTTTTAACTTTAAACATCTGAATTTGGTACTACCTTGTTTTTCCCCAGCTGCCAGTGCCCTGTGGGCCGGATTGGCGGTCGGCAGAGGCTGTCGGTCGGTAACGGCTGCGAGTTTAAACAAACAAACAAACAAACACGTAAACACAGAACATCTTAATTTGATATTACTTTAATTGTTTTCCTCTAGCTGCCAGTGCCCGGTGGGCAGGATCGGCGGTCGGCAGCGGCTGTCGGTCGGGAACGGCTGTGAGTTCAAACAAATAAAAAAAACCAACAGACAAACAAACAAACACGTGAACACAGAATAACTTAATTTGGTATTACCTTGTCTTTCCTCCAGTTGCCAGTGTCCGGTGGGTCGGATCGGCGGTCGGCAGAGGCTGTCGGTCGGTAACGGCTGCGAGTTCACCCACGTCATGATACACGAGATCGGGCACGCCATCGGCTTCTGGCACGAGCAGTCCCGCCCGGACAGGGACAACTGGGTGGAAGTCCTCTGGGACAACATCGAACCAGGTTCGTGTTATTCAAAGACCAAATATAATCCATAATATCATCATATTGGTGTCAGTCATGCTCTCAGTATCATAGGTCCCTGTCCCGCTCTTAGCCAATCATAGGTCCCAGTTTTGCTCTCAGTAGCCAATCATAGGCCTGCTCTTAGTAGCCAATCATAGGTTCCAATTCTAGCCTTCTCTTGGCCAGGACTGTGACAACTGGGTGGAGGTCCTCTGGGACAACCAGGTGCGCCAGTCCTGCTCTTAGCCAATCATAGGTCCCAGTCCTGCTCTCAATAGCCAATCATAGGCCTCAGTCCTGCTCTTGGCCAATCATAGGTCTTGTCCTGCCATCGGCTTCTGGCACGAGCAGTCCCACCCCGACAGGGACAATTGGGTGGAAGTCCTCTGGGACAACATAGAACCAGGTGCGCCAGTCCTGTTCTTAGCCAATCATAGGTCCTAGTCCTGTTCTTAGCCAATCGTAGGTCCCGCCACGCTATAGGCTTCTGGCACGAGCAGTCCCGCCCCGACAGGGACAACTGGGTGGAGGTGCTCTGGGACAACATTGAGCCATGCAGGTTCGTGTCACGTAAAAGTCTAAATATCATCCATATTTGAGGTAGTCCTAACCTGCTCTTAGCCAAACATAGGACCCAATTCGGCAGGGAAGTCATATACTCCCAGTGGCAGTGCTGTTCTTAACATGCTAATCATAGTTCCCAGTTCTTAACAAATCATGGGTTCCAGTCCTGGTCTCAGTAGCCAATCATAGGTCCCAGGCCTGCTCTCAGTAGCCAATCATAGGTCCCAGGCCTGCTCTCAGTAGCCAATCATAGGTCCCAGGCCTGCTCTCAGTAGCCAATCATAGGTCCCAGTCCTGGTCTCAGTAGCCAATCATAGGTCCCAGTCCTGGTCTCAGTAGCCAATCATAGGCCCAGTGCTAGCCTGCTCTTAGCCAATCATAGGTCCCAGTCTTGCTCTCAGTAGCCAATCATAGGTGCTGATTCGAAAGGGACAACCGGTTGGAAGTGGTCTGGGACAACGTTGAATCAGATTCCTTTATATACTGCATAACCCAATGCAATGCTTCAACTCAGTTGTTTCTCAGTCTTAACCAGATCTCGTTTTCCCTAGATCTTCATACTGCCTTTGACAAGTACGGTAAGGCTGAGATCGACTCGCTGGGAGTGGAGTATGACTACGGCTCCATAATGCACTACCCGTTCAACGCCTTCCCGCGCTCGCCCGGCCTGGAGACGCTGCGGGCGCTGCAGACGGTCCACCAGCAGCCCTACCGCCAGCTCAGCGAGAAGGACGTGCTGCAGGTCCAGCTCATGTACGACTACTGCAGGGGTGAGTACAGAGGTCAAGGGTGAAAGTTTAAAGTTCGTGTACAGCTACGTAGAGGTACAGAGGTCAAAGTTGAAGAGTTCAAAGTTCATTTACAGCTACGGTAGAGTTGTGGAGGTCAAAGTTGAAGAGTTCAAAGTTCATGTACATAGTCTGTGTACATAGCCATGTACAAGTTCAGCGGTCAAAGTTGAAAAGTTCAAAAGTAAAGTTCAAAGTTTCCTTTATGGTACTTACAGTTCAGAGTGCAAAAAGTTTTTTGATCATCTGAAAAATTCGACAAGTTACGGTCACGCATCAGGACTGCAGGCCAGTTCAAAGAGTTCGAAGTTCACTTGTGATGGAGGCCAAAGAGTACAAGCTTTTGATAGCTAACTTAGGGAAAACAAAGGTGGTGCATTGCAATGATGTGTCCTCCCAACTAAGCAGCAAAGAATTGTCACATCTTTATGGTACCATTTCAGATCGCACCGATTCAGACCTCCCGCCCGACGCCAATGGTAAGTACAACATTTCAGACCTTTTCTACTTCCCAGTTTTTGTTACTAACGGGGTTTCCCAACACTTCAAACGGCCACAAGAAATATTGTATATTGTAAATAACTTGTGGCAATGTGGCAGCATATATTTTTGTGGTCGCTTGTTACTTCTGCGAAGAAAGTTGCATTCATTCATTCATTCATCACCAGCTCCAGTCTGTGACGACCTGGACGCGTCCTGTCCCGACTGGGCGGAGGCGGGCGAGTGTGAGAACAACATCAACTGGATGCTGTACCACTGCAAACACAGTTGCAATACATGTGGTAAGGACTCTCCTTCTGTTTTTGTTTGTCTGTCTGTCGGTCTCTCTCTCTGTCTCTCTTAGCTATCTCTGCCTGTCTGTCTCTCCCTCAGTCTGTCTCTCTCTGTCTCTCTCTGTCTCTGCCAGTCTGTCTGCCTGTCTGTCTCTCATTCTTACTGTACCACTGCAAACACAGCTGTACGTGTAATACATGTGGTATGGACTCTGTCTCTCTCTCTCTCTCTCTCACTCACTGACTCACTGACTCCCTCTGTGTGTGTGTGTTTGTGTGTATGTCTGTGTGTGTGTGTGTGTGTGTGTGCATGTGTCTGTTTGTGTGTGTGTGTGCATGTGTCTGTTTGTGTGTGTGTGTCTGACCTGTGGCACTGTGCGTGTTTATTACAGACGGCCCATGTGAGGACAGTGAGAGCAGGTGCCCCCAGTGGGCCCGGGAGGGAGAGTGCGTGGACAACGCGGAGTACATGTTGCTCAACTGCCGCAAGAGCTGCCGGACCTGCCGCGAACCCGGGCAGCAAGCACGTGGGTCACCTCAGTTTTACATCTTGTATTCGTAGATTGTAGTGGCATTGAGTGACCGAGTGATTAGACCAGAGGACACGGTATCGAGAGGTTGCAGGTTCGATCCCTGGCATCACTTAGAGGTTGTGTCAATATGCCAATTGTTGTTGGTTTTTTTTTGGGGGGGGGGATCATGTAGGGATATACAAATTTATCTATAAACAATATACTCTAAGAATTGTAACCTTATCTTAAAGGCTTAGGCTATATTTCCAAACTTGGGCTTTTTGCGTGAATAAAAACTAAACAATTCATATCAAGAATATACACAAGTAGTAGTGCTCGTGATAGTTTTTTTTACACCTTTTTTGTGTTTTGTTGTTTTTTGTATCATACTTTTTCGTTCCCGCAAACTGCCTGGCCACGCCTCGAATGGGAATTGTGACCTTAGCATTACCGGTTAGATGTGAAAGAAACTGGCAACCCTCCCCTCTCCCCAGACTCCCCGCCGGCGGCAGAGGGACTCCTGATGCGCCCGTTCGGCCCAGACAACCTACCGGAGGAGGCCCGCCCGCCCCAGAGAGGAGAGACGAACGAGAACAATGTGGCGGAGCTGCTGGGAGGACCCGTCGTGGACAGGGAGAAAAAATGTGAGTAACGCTTAATCTTATCGATATCATTGGTTTATTTTAAACACAATACTCTAACAGCACAATAATAGTCAGCACACAATGTCATCACTTCGCAGCCATAATTAGGATGAATTATGTGATTTAAAGCGCTTAACAATGATGAACAATAACTAAATAAAATCTTGGACGTCCCTCAACGTGTCATACAACAGTCAAGTAATCTCCAAGCAGATTCTGTGGGGCAAGCGGAGTCTGCATTGGCCGCCTGCATCCTCCGTCCTCCTGTAGCCATTGCCCCACTAGGTTATTACAGGAGGCCAATGGATACAGGCGGCCAATATAGACTCCCCTTGCCCCACAAAATCTGCTTCGGGATTAAGTAATGCTCTTGTCGGCCTCTTGGTCTGCAAGGTTTCTGGCCTAGGCATCCTAAAAGTGTGAAGTTTGACATCGATTTATGTCAATTTATAAGTGTGCAAAATGTTTTAACGTCTTTGATAAAAAAACAACTCTTGCGAATTCCATTAATAGAAAGAAAAGGTAGATTTTGGATTGATTTAGCAAACTTGCATAAATTATGCTAATTTCTTCTCGTTCCCAGGGCTGCGACCATATATGGTGACCAGGAACGCCTGCATCCGGGGTCGCAATCAGCTGGGCACGTTCCGGGACCAGAGCTTGCGGCTCTGCGTCAGGAGGTGTAACGATGACGTCAGGTGCGTAACCATGACGACAGGTACGTAACCATGACGACAGGTGCGTAACCATAGTGACGACAGGTGCATATCCCTGACGACAGGTGTGTAAACATTATGATGTAACTATGACAACAGTTGCGTAACCATGACGACAGGTGCGTTACCATGACGACAGGTGCGTAACCATGACGACAGGTGCGTAACGATGACGACAGGTGCGTAACCATGGTGACTACAGGTGCGTACCCAAATGACGAAGGATGAGTAATCATGACCACAGGTGTATAACTATAACGACAACGCCTGACACTTGTGGACAAGCACTCACTACAAATAGCTAGACGATTTTTACCGACGATTACGCTAAATTGAGACATGGATAACTTATTTCCCGTCGTAAAGACTGCAAACCTTTCTAGTACCCTACATACATGTAACATGTTGGCGTCCTGTTAGCCTTTTGGGTCTCCTGGACAGTTCAAGTGTAGCCTGGTGTTCAGCCTTGTTAGCTTTATATTTAGTCCGCTACCCAAGATCCGCTCCCCGCCTGCTGAAATCGTTTGAATGGTAATTAACAGCGCCTAGTCTTGTTGGCGGGGAGCGGACCAGGCTAGTTCAGGTGCCCATCCGACAGGTGTGTTGCCGTTTTTCAGGTGCCTGTCGTTTGACTACATCCCGACGTATCGGAGCTGTTACCTGTCTCTGGACAACCGGGAGTCCGCCCCGCACGACTTCGACGGCTGCACGGAGGAGTACCGCCGCATCACCAACTACTACGAGAAGAGAAGCAGCGTCATCCGGGGCAGGGACGGCAACAGCAACAGCAACACACCGGAACACGAACCGGAACCAGAGGGTGGGTATTGAGCGCTGATCTCCAAGCAGATCTTTTGGTGGCTGCGAAGACAGTATCACACTAATATTGGTCTGGCAGTATCCATTTGAAAAAGATCACCTAAAACATGCCAAAGCAACAACAGGCCGGAACACGAACCGGAACCAGAGGGTGGGTTAGTCCTTCCCGCACCAGGTGGTGCATATAGGCCGGCGCCCATTCCCGTTTCAATAGCCCTTGGGCCACACAGTTATGCAATTACTACAGCAGGGGGCTAGTCCACTGGTAGCAGTTTGTGTTCAACTACCATACGGTGGCCTGTGAGTGCTAATCTCCAAGCAGATCTTTTGGTGGCTGCGAAGACAGTATCAATTTGGCCAGGTCCATGGCCCAAACTGAGAACATTCTTGGGGCAGTCATTGCTGTCTTGTTACGGGAAAGAGTGTCTTACATCCTGGTCGGCAGTTGGTCGATCTGTCACAAGTGGCTTACAAATTCTACATCACAAATGTGTTTGACTGCGCCGTAAGGGAGGCCTTCTTGGGTGGGTACCGTCAATGCACTCTTGATGGTGGCGGATACCTGTTAAGTTAGATTCTCTGAGGGGCATTTAACGTTGACATTACCAACCCACAACGTTAATCAAGCAGATTCGGTGGGGCAAGGGGACTTTTTATGTTGGCCGCCTGTATCCATTTGCCGCCTGTATCCAACGTTCACGAACGTTGGATATAGGCGGCCAACATAAAAAAAGTACCATGCACCACCGAATCTGCCTGGAGATTACCACAACGTATCACGTCTCCTACAATGTTTCTGTGGCCTTACTTTTGTTCGTGTTCGTACTACAGTACCTGACGGCTACGGCGTGATCAGGAACACCTGTCTGAAGGGGCGGAACCAGCTGGGCAGTTTCTACGAGACGCTGGAAAACTGCGCCTCCCTGTGTTCTGCTGACATCAGGTGCAGTACCGCCATTGCTCACAAGGGGGCCCTGATATTAGATGACACTGTACTGTAATCCAGGTTGTAATCACACTGTCACAGTGTAAAGGTTTGGGGTTGCAATCTTGTTCTGCAAAAGGTAACGTTACGGTTTTGTCAAACAGCAAAGTCGCATGACGACAAACAACGAAAATGCCCGCGCCATAACCCTTGCGTTTTCACGCTTTAGTCTTTGTAACACGAATTTTACCCAGAACCATGCTTAGGTCGGGTCCTGGATAGTCCACACGTATCCGATCCAGAGCCATGCCAGAGTTAAATCTACATTCTTGGATGCGCATAGACTACTACGTAGCTATAGAACCGTGCCTGGACTTAGCCCTACCCCATTCAGGCACAGAAGGTAGCCTCCGTAGCAGGCTTATAAAACTGGGGGTTTAGTGGTCTTCGGCTGTTTTCTGTTAAAAACGGGGGTAATTCAACCAGGCCGGCTATGTTGCCTATATGCAATCAGAAAATAGCACATAAAAGCTCCCAAAGACCATAAAGACCCCCAAAACCCCCAGTTTTGGGCATACTATGGAGTCTACACAGAAGGCGGGTTCTGGATACGGTAGAGGCAGTAAGGACCCCTCCCCTCAAGCATGTCTAGGTGGACAGCAGAATAGACCCCTTTCCAAATAATGGCAGTCCTCGATGTAACTAGGCTACGTTTCCATCCGTTGCAGATGTAAGTCGTTTGACTACGTGTTGAGCCACCAGAGCTGCCACCTGTCCACGGACGACCGCATGTCGGCGGGAGAGGACGCGCTGTGCTCGCCGGAGTACAGCAGAATCACCAACTACTACGAGAAGAGACCCGACGGTGAGTTATAATAGCCTCTACCAGGCTTGGGGAGGCGGCTGGAAGGAGTAGAAATCGGCCAAATAGAGGGATAAGCATGGGTACTCTGTACTCCAAGGGTGCGGCGAACTGTTCTCTCAACGGACAAACTCCCTTGGCATGCTTATCCCTCTATTTGGCCGATTTCTACTCTTTCCAGCCGTCTCCCCAAGCCTGGTAGAGGCTAGGTGAGTTAGTCTCCACCAGACTTCTTTTGCGGGGTGAATAAATCGTAGAAATCGTCCTAAAAAGGGTATTAATTGGCCAGAGAAGGTAGCCGGCCAGAGAAGCTCCGGCGGGGAAATGGAAATGTAAAAAATTAATTAATGCTTATCATAAAGCCATACATGTGTGTAGCCTTTGTGAGAAAGTTCCCACTCTTTCCGTATGTTCTTTCTAACCCTCTGTAATTTTGCCACATTGTAACTGTTTCCAAATGCAACGGTACCAACCTTTTTGTTGTTGTTGTTTTGTTCTTGCCATGGTGACGAACAGCACCCGATATCGGCGACTTCCTGCACATCAAGGAGGCGTGCATTTTGGGAAGGAACCAGCTGGGGTCCTTCTATGACGAGACCTTAGAGCAGTGCCAGGGGCGGTGCGGAAACGACTACAGGTGGGTGGAGGGGGCACGATATTGACTTCCAGTGACCTTTAACCCATGAAAATCACTACAGTGGGGTTGTGTGGCGCAATGGCAGCGTGCACGACTCGGAATCAAGAGGTCCAGGGTTCGAGTCCTGACATGCCATCGATCTTGTGCCCTTGGCAAAGGCAGTTTACACGACTTTCCCCACTAGACTCAAGTGAAAATGAGTATTGTCTGTCCAGTATTCGTTTCTATGTGCGGGACACAACACCGGCAACAGCTGCCTGTGTTCCGCGTGTATTGCATTGTTGCAATTTCAATAAAATCAAATGAAATGACTACAGGTGGGTTCGGCATGAAAGTTCATCTGAGTTGATAAATTACATTTATTTATGAAAAATTTGAACTGTTCTCCAACTCATAAATTTGACTCACCGGAATTTTCGACTGAATCACTCAGTCGAAATCTTGGGGGTTCGAATCTTGGATACCGAACAGTATTACTTCAAGAGAGGCATAAAAGAGGCCATATACATCAGGGCACTTCAACCTTCGCTCAACTGGGACGGGGGGGGGGCGATATCGACTTCAGACAACCTTTGACCCTTTGCTGACGTCACACGTGGGAAAAATCACGTGTCCACAGCATTTGGGTCAGATAGCTGAGGAAGACTGACTGATTCAGTTGAAAATTCCGGTGAGTCAAATTTATGAGTTGGAGAACAGTTTAAATTTTTCATAATACAGGTGGGTTCGTAAAACCGTAAGGGGGGCACGATATTGACTTCCAGTGACCTTTAACCCATGAAAATCACTACAGTGGGGTGGTGTGGCGCAATGGCAGCGTGCACGACTCGGAATCAAGAGGTCCAGGGTTCAAGTCATGACATGCCATCGATCTTGTGCCCTTGGGAAAGGCACTTTACACGACTTTCCCCACTAGACTCAAGTGAAAATGAGTACTGTCTGTCCTGTATTGACTCGTTTCTATGTGTGGGACACAACACCAGCAACAGCTGCCGCTGTTCTGCGTGTATTGCATTGTTGCAATTTCAATAAAATCAAAATCAAATCAAAAATCACTACAGGTGGGTTCGGAAAACTGTAAGGGGGGCACGATACCGACTTCCATGGACCTTAGGCTGGTTTGTCAGACTGTAGGGCACCATACAGACTGTAGGGGGCGATACAGACTACCAGGCACCCTCGATCCACGTAAAGGACAACACATACGTTTGTCAGACTGTAGGGGGTTCATGCAGACTCCCAGGCACATTTGACCCACAACTGACGTTATCTTCCCAGCAGCTGCTCCAGTGTCAGTTTATTTCAGAAGGCAGAGATATGGACTTAGATATTCATAAAAAGAGCTTTTTGTCTTGTATAAAAGGCCCAGAGCGCCTAGTATTTACTAAAATAGCACCTTTCATTAATTATAATGTTAATATCTTCACAGAAGGCAAACATTGTTTTTGCTCAGTTTCTTCTTCGGTTCCAAATGCATAAGGTCAATGATCTGGACCAGACATCTGTCACCATGGTAACTGGTGCTGTGGTGTTGGGTAGAATTATGTAGTTTTCATATTGTTTTCTTTGTTATGATGGAGTGTTTGTTTTTCTGCCCGCTAGTTGCCGGTCGTTTGACTACGTGAGCTCGTACCGTTCGTGCCACCTGTCCACTGACAACCGGCTCACGGCCCGAGCGGCGTTCGACTCCTGCCCGTCTTGGCTACGTCTGCAGACCGACTACTACGAGAAGGTCATAGAACGTGAGTACTTATAACCGACTTGGAAATAACAGTTACTCAAGCAACTGGATAGATTTTGAGATCGGTCAGACGTTTCAAGTAGCAAGTTCTACCTTTCGCTGGTGACTGAACAAGATATTTGTAGCCTACAGGCATTTGTAAAAATAAGGGGATAGCTTAATCTCAATCCAAGCAGATCCTAGGGTGGCAAAAGACAGTATCAAATTGGCCAGGCAGTGTCCATTCGCAACAGAGGGTCCATACACCACCCATACCAACCCACCTTGGGTGGCGTATGAGCCCTCTCTGGCAAATGGATACTGCCTGGCCAATTTGATACTGTATTTTGCCACCCTAGGATCTGCTTGGAGATTAGGGGTAGCTGTACGTGCTCGCATGGATTACGAAACAAACACTGGTCACTCGAAAGTCAGGTGTAATATTGCTTTGTAATGTATCAGCTGAATGTGCTGCCTAGTGCTCAACTTGTATTGCCGTTGCAATTTGAATAAAAAAAGAAAGAAGGAAGGAAAGAGAGAAGAAAGAAAGAAAAAGAAAGAAAGAAAGAAAGAGAAAGAAAGAAAGAAAAAGGTCAGACTCCTGCTGATGCCGTGTTCTCCCTATCTCCACAGCACCTCCCACAACACGGCCTCCCCCCACTACAACAACCACCAGGAGGACCACCACATGGCGCCCTCCCACCCGCACCACCACCAAATCTCCGCTGCCGGGTAAGCCAATTTATCCGATAGACACGTCCTTTCTTTTGCTTGAGTTTGTATGACTTTGTAAGGTTCGAAAATTGGAAAACTAAAAAGAAAATTATAAAGAAAAAGAAATGTTTGGGTATATTGACATGATTTTGGTTGCCAAGAATGTGTGAAGTCATTGTGTAATAGTGGAGTAAGTTTGACCCGCAGTTTAGTAGGCTAGACTGTGTGAAAGTACTAGGTAAATATACGGCATGTTGTTGTCCTTGTTTAACATCTAACATCTCGCTAGTCGTGGTCTCTTGGTGCTGGTTTGCGCTTGGTTCACTGTTCAGAGTCAACTTGTCTCTCTAGGTATGTAACTCTTGGTGCCTTATGCATTTCCTTTGCAAATATTACCTTTATGGTTTGTCATTTTTCCTGAAACGTACAGAGTCGTGCCGCACGCCGCTGGGCCTGGGTAAGGAGAGTGGGTACCACCTGCCCGACGCCGCCTTCTCAGCCTCCTCCACCCTCAGTCTGTCCGCCTGGAGCGCCGGGCCCGAGAACGCACGCCTGCACCAGGAGGACGACTACGACAGGTAACAGGTCATGGGTCATCAAGGGGGTCAGGTAACAGGTCATAGGTCACTTGATGTTCAAGTAACGGGTCATAGGTCACCCAGTCAAAGTCTTCAGAAAAAAAAGGATCAGTACTAGTACTCTTTAAGTACCCTCTAGGCAATGAAAAGAATGTGCCCACGATCGAATACAAATTATTTTCCTGACAAAAGTTAGGTGTAAAATAAAAAGATTTCCTGGGAACTAATGTCTTGTGACGTCACAGTGAACACGTATGAGGCGCAGTAAATATCGGATGGACAACACTTTTACTTTTTCCGTCTCGGTTGCTAGGAAACGGGTGGGGTCATGGTGCGCGAGCAGCAGCGACTACGGGGAGTTCCTGCAGGTGGACCTGGGACGTACCAAACGGATCACGGGGGTGGCCACGCAGGGACGGCACAAACAGTTCGAGCACGTCAAGTCGTACAAGCTGGCCTACAGTCACGACTCCAGGACGTGGTACGACTACATGGAGGGCGGACATCCTAAGGTAAGGGCACTGTCACATACGTTGTACAAGTGTCGTACTAGGGTCGTACATGTGTCGTGCGATCACAAAATTCGACTCCAATGGAGAACATACCAAAATTCTAGTGTCTAAGACCACAACCTCTAGCAAATATAACATTAATTCGTGATTACCATGACTCTTTGCTGCCATATATTCCGACCCACTCAACCCAAACGACGCCACATTATGCACTTTACTTCTTACAGGTAGCCCCTCCCTCCCATACCCTACCAACTGCCGTATCTTTGATATTGTGTTCAACTATATATCCACCACTCTGGAAGATTTGACCAATCTCAATAATGTTATGCTATAGGTATTGGTGCGCCAGCCACTTTCATTTTATGTTTATGTTATACTTTATGTCATCTTTATGTTTACATTTGTATTATGTTTTATGAGCAGCGGATTTACATAAGCACAACAAGTGCTTCCTATCCAATGCTCAAAAATCCATGTGAATAAAATAAAAAAATAAATGTATTCCAGGTGTTCGATGGGAACTGTGATCACCTGACCGCAGTGACCAATCACGTGCGAGAGCCTCTGACGGCGCGGTTCCTGAGGTTCGTGGTTCAGCAGAACGTGTGGCCGTGTCTGAGGGTGGAGGTGTACGGCTGCGAGGCAGACAGACCCACGGCAGGTAAGTTATAGTCTCTGAGTGTGGCCGTGTCTGAGGGTGGAGGTGTACGGCTGTGAGGCAGACAGACCCACGGCAGGTGAGTTATAGTCTCTGAGGTTCGTAGTTCAGAAGAACGTGTGGCCGTGCCTGAGGGTGGAGGTGTACGGCTGCGAGGCAGACAGACCCACGGCAGGTGAGTTCGAACGTATTCTGATTGATGATCACTCTAATCCATTACCGTGCTACATTGTATCTTGTTTTATGCCTGAGTTGATTAGGATATCAGCAGGCACTGTCCTGGGTAGTCTCCGAAACAGTGCTTATACAGCAGTTATATGCCTAGTAAATGGGTTAATGTTATGATGAGGCACGGTTCTGGATAGGCTCTATTGTATCCAGAACCGTTGCCTATCTATGCTTGAATGAGCCTGCATGACTTTGATGCCTGTTGGCCGTGTCTGAGGGTGGAGGTGTACGGCTGCGAGGCAGACAGACCCACAGCAGGTGAGTTGTATCTAAGGCCACACCAATTTAATTTGTTGGTTCTCGGATTTTTCCATGGGTAAGGATCAGGCACTGTCCTATAGCCTGGGTGCCATTCGATTTGTAATTTTTTTTTCGGGGTTTCCGTTACAAATCGGATGGCTCCCAGGCTAGCACTGTTCTGGATAATTCCCGAAACAGTGCCTATATAGGAGTTCAGGAAGTTCTATGCCCGAATGGGTTAATGTTATGATGAGGCACGGTTCTGGATAGTCTCTATTGTATCCAGAACTGCGGCTATCTATGCCTTGATGAAAGTTTGTATACCTTTGATGCCTAAACGTTAATGGGAAAATCTTCATAGAGCATAAGAGTTAAGTTCTACTCAAACCTTTTCTTTCAGGAGGCAATTACCCTAGCAACGATGGTAGGCGTGTCCCCGAAACCACGTATCCTAGCAACGGTGACCATGGTTACGACGACGACTACGACATTTACGATGACGACAACATCGAAGCGCGAATCCCTTGAGTGGAAAGAATTCATTTTGCCTCAGATTTTCTAGTCTCTACCAGACGTTTTTGCTTGCTAAAAACAGTAAAATATCCCCAATGGGGGTAAATGAATTTACCAATTTGAAAGGAGTTCGCCGGTCAATGTAGTGTTGGCTAGTCTCTAAAATCCAAACGTAAGTTTTCAAACAGGAGGATCCGTTGCATTGTCTCTGGTAATGTCTTGCATGTCTAGTGCACAACAACTCTGTTTCCGGCGACCTCCTACGCTATCTTTTGATCTACATTTGGTCATCTTTTTTTGTGCAAGCAAAGAAGTCCGGTGGACGCTACAAGTTTCTTACCGGAGGTGCTGTTTGCGTGTATAAAAGATCTGCTGGTCAGGCCGTTATTTGTTTGAAATGAAAACCATGAAGTTAAGTTAATCAATTCTCTGATTTTGATACAAATTGTACACCCATGATTCCATAGGTACGTATTTAGTATGGTTGACTTTTACGGTATTTTCGGTATAACAGCATGGTAATGTTATGTCAACGTAAACACTGTAAATCACACTCGTCTTTGTTTCTTTACTGCCTTATCTTTTATTTTGTTATTTTAACTACTACGTAGTTATGTCTCAGATAAGAGCGACAAATATATCCGTGAATGGTTGTCTAACAGCAATACATGTCTAGTGAGTTTGATAACTTGAGTACATAATTAATGACTGCCGGTGATGGAAATGTTTTTAGAAATTAAAGACAACTACGCAAATATACAAAAGTAACGCCCTCCTTTCTCAGCACTGGAACACCAGAGTTGAAGTGGTACTCAGCCCAGAGCTGAGACTTTCTCAGCACTGGAATTCCACTGAGGCGGCTTCAGCTCTGGAATAGAGCCGTTCAGCTCTGGAAAGAGAGCTGAGAAAGTCTCAATTCTGGATTTCCAGTGCTAAAAAGTCTCATGGCTTGAGGGCTACGCGAGGGTACACCTGTTTCTCGGCCATCTCTGCCGCGTCTGTGAACTCCCACCAGGCGCCAGAAATGTTTTAAAATGTTGAAAGAATCAAAAGAAAATGAAGAAAACTACTAAAGGTAAAGAAAAATGATTGTCGTTGCGTCTTATGGCTTGAGGGCCACACGAGGGTACACCTGTTTCTCGGCCATTTCTGCCGCGGCTGCGAACTCCGTCAGCGGAAAGTCGGCTCCCACCAGGTGCCAGAAATGTTTTTAAATGTTATAAAAAATCAAAAGAAAAATGAAGAAAACTACTAAAGGTAACAAAAATGGTTGCCGCTGCATCTCATGGCTTTAGAGCCACGCGAGGGTACACCTGTTTCTCGGCCATTTCTGCCGCGGCTGCGAACTCCGTCAGCGGGAAGTCGGCCCCCACGAGGTCCTCGTAAGGGTACCTGCCTGCCGTCCGCGCCAGGAACTGCACTGCCGCTGTCAGGTGCCAGGGGGCGTAGTTGTGCACGCCGTGGATGGTCAGGCACTTCCCGATAATCTGATCGCCTGAGGTTGAAAAAGGGAGAAAATGTTGTATAATTCTATGAAAAAATATGACTGTCCTATTTCTAGTTTATTTTTTTTTATTTTTCATACATATTTTGATGCAAGTTTCCAAAATTATATCCAGTTGCTTGAGTAACTTCTTTTTGGCGTATCTTATTACCTGGGTGTCTAACCGTCACTGATGCATATTTTGATGGTTTCCTCGCTAACACAAATAAAAAAAAGTAGCAACTGCATGCAGTACTAAACATCAGCTTTTGATACGCGCTTCAATAACACTACACGCGAAATGTGGGATTTACCAAATTTACCATGGGTATGTAAATGAGATATATAACATTTACCCACAAATGCCAATTTTAAATTACATTTTTGGGTAAATGTGTATGCGACTCTGAGCTAAAATTAAAGACTAAAAGAGTGCAGTCTTGTATTTGGTGTAGCTAACGGATTTTTGAAGAATATAGGACCATGACAGTAAGTTGTGCATGAAAGGAAAAGGAAAACCAATCAGAAGATGTTTGTTACCCCTGATGTCGAGTTGGGACCTCGGGTGCACCATCCCCACCAACACGTACGTGCCGCCGGGCCGCAGCAGCCGGATGCCCGAGGGCACCACCGAGGGAGCACCGCACACCTGCGCAGGTGAGAATAGGTAGATATCCGTCAGGTGTACAAGCTAATGACGTTATAGTATTGCTTGGTGAAGGGAAGAGTGTGTACTCTCCAAGCAGAGGTTGTGGGGGAATGATCGTTACCTTTTTATATATGGCCGTTGTTTTTTTTTTTTTTGTCGCTACCCCCCACCAGTCGGTGGCCGCGGACCTTCTCTGGCTAATGGATACTGCCTGGCCAATTTGATACTGTCTTTTTACCACCGAAAGGGATCTGCTTGGAGATTAAGAGTGTGGTCATATTGAAGAGGATGACTTGGAAATTCAGGTTCAAGTAAATTTCAGCTAATTCACAGGCAATCAAATCTCCAGTTTTTCTGTTCTTTTTATGACACTCACTTCCTAAAGATTTCATGGTGAAAATCATAAATGAAATCATATTCAGTTGCTCGAGTAACTGTTTTTCAGCGTATCATATTACCTGGGTGTCTATTAACCTTCACCGACGTACTTCATGGTGACAACTATGGTGACACTTCTTTTAGAGAAGGCACTGTGTTTTAATAGATAAGACTGTGTACTGAAAACAGGTATAAATGACTTGAAAATGATACCTCGATAACAGCATGGAAGGAATCCTCCTTCCCAGAATCCTCCGGGTCCTCTTTTCCCGCCAGAACGGGCGTCCCCCCGAACCTGGGAACGAGTTTCAGACGATCCTGGTTCAAATCCGTGCAGTACACAAACTCGTAGCCCCGTTCCCTTAGCAACGCGCATGCGTACAACCCCAGCAGACCCGCACCCTGCACCATGATTGGACCCCTCCCTGTGACGTCATCGTCGTTGCCATGGTTACGAGCCGTGACGTCAGACGGGACGCTTTCCAGCCCGACGTTCAACTGGTCTCGAAACTCCGCGGCAATGTTCTCGTTCCCGGGAATGCAGGACACGGCGTTGACGACGGTTGCTAGGGCGCAGTTGACGGGGGCCGCCATCCTGTCAGTCACGTGATCGGGGATGGGGACGACGTGGACGCCGCGCCTAACGACCAGGTGCGTTGCGTAGCAACCGTTGAAGCCCGTCCCGTTGCTAAGGAGGGCGTGGCCGTACTTGAAGAGCTGTCGGCACTTCTGAGGAAGGCCGGCCGAACACCTGAAGGAAAGCATTTTCTTTGTTTGTTTGGTGATAATTTCCACGAGGAACACGTGTATGGGCCGCACAATCTATATATTATGGTAGGCATCGTATGGTTGTCCCAAATCTGATGAAAAAGTGACATCAGATTTGGGTCCGCCTTAGGACGGACGAAAGTGGAGATAGAGAGAGAGAGACGCGGAGAGAGAGAGTGAGTGAGTGAGTGAGAGAGAGAGGGAGAGAGAGGGGTGTGTGAGAGAGAGAGAGAGAGAGAGAGAGATTAGGAAAGGCACACGAAGAATGCCCCATACCCAGTATCAAAGATGAAGGCCCCCTAAATGTAAACAAAGACATCGGGGACGACCGGGCTCGCCCTTTGGCGTCGCCAAAAAAACACCCACCTGTCGCAGTTAAAACACGAGTCTATAATGGAGAAGGTGACTCGGGATCCGGCGGGAAGGGCTCGGTCCCCCCGGCGGTCCTGTACCACCTCCAGTACCGCCTCGTGTCCCAGCACGCTCGGTACCCCGTGGTGACGCCGCCCGGATAGGGAGTGCAGGTCCGACCTGACAGGAACGGACTTCTATTAATACATCTCCAAGCACACGTTATGTTACGGTGGCAAAATCGCGACATCCAATGAATGACTAACTTTTGCCACACTGAGCTAAGTAGCGTTACACGTCAAAAACAAAACATGATGAACAGTTACAGTTAATAACGTTATATACAAAATAAAACTACTAGTAAACATCATTAACATAAATAGATAAGCTAATAAACTGAGATTTGATCCAGTAGGTTAACGTTACCTCAGCACGACCTAAGAATCCTAAAAAGAAGACAACTTAGCACGAGACGTGAGTTGCAAGGACTTTGAACCCAAACCACCGTAACTGTCGCCTTACCTGCGCGTAAACACGGTGCATTTTAACGTTGACGTTATCCATACTTCATCAACAAAACTGTTCAGAACTTTAAATGTTTCCCACTGTAAAAGTTACATTACCTTACCCACAGACGGTGGCGAGTCGGATCCTGCCGAGAATCTCTCCCGGTCCGGGTTCGGGGGCGGGGCCGGTCTCCACCGTACAGGCCGGTGTGTGGGCCGGCCCGTGGAAAATAACCTTCTGGGCCGCCATCCTGCGTTTCTTTCAGGTGTCGAGCGATATAGGATTCGTAAAGACCTCCTAGTGAAGTTCAGGACAAATCTAGGAAGAAAAACTCTTGTTTAATCTACCAGAAAAGGTCCGAAAGTCATTCAGACCACAAAAAATGCCCTCAGTAACTAGTAGATCGAAGGTCAGTCGTTTCCGTATTTATTTGTTGTCAAATACTCGTGCAATGTAGGACACGCCAGTTAAAAATGTGGTAAAACCGAGACAAAATTTGTTTATCAGTCTACAAATTTCATTCCTTTGAATTCTTTGCTCGGTATTTCTCCTGTTTTGTCCAGATTCATTAACTTTTCTGAGAAGTTCGAAAAGTTGTTCCAAATCCAAGGACACCTGCAGGTCAACGACCTAGCTCTCGCGAGATCTCGCCCGGCGCGGGAGAGCGCGAGAGTTGGAAACCAAGATGGCTGCCATTCGGAGATTGTGTGTTTTGAAAGTCGTGGTTCCAGGTTTGGTGGCCGCAAACGCCTCGAGAACGGCGCTCTGTGGGGCGTTTGTTTACCAGGCAGGATGGGTTAGAAACATGAACTCAAGGTGAGAAAGAATTCCAGTCGCTAGCTAGATCTGGGGACCCTATTTTTGGACCGAATCGTAACACGTGACATCATGTACGTACATGGTGCTTTTCAAGACTGGCACACGTCACAATGTCTAATTGTCGCTTCCGCTTTCTTGAAGCCTATGTGGTAGAAAATGTTCGCTTTTACCACATTTATAACTGATTTGTTGGTTGTACATTGATGGAAGTGGTCATGATTTTGTCCCAAACACTAACAGAAGTGAATTGCGTGTGAAGGGGGAGGGGGGCATACTGTTTACTGGGGTGAGATGGGTGGTTTTGCAAGTTCATGACCTTTTCCTAAATATAGTATGAAACCCCATTTAAGGACACTGTCGTCTTTTCTAGTGCATGTGAGGGGTAGGGTAAAATCGTATCACAGTACTGAAGGATTAGCAGTGTACAAAATACTTTGTTTGCAACCTACGGCTAAAATTAGGTTGCCCATCAGAATTTTAGGTTGCCCCACCTATAAGTTACTACTTTCCCCAAATTTAAGTAATGTTACAGACATAAGCCCTCGACAATATTTCTAACAGTCTTTAGTAACTTAGCCACTAATACCTAAAATTAAAAAGCATCTGCAGGCTACAGTGGTGCAAGCCAAGTGTGCATGATTTCGTGTGTATGTGTGGGGGGATTCTTAAAATTCAGGTAGCACACTGGGCTACCTGGGTTCAAAAGTAGATGGCCCTAAGTAAAATTTGGTTGCCCGGGGCAACTGGGCAACCAGGTATTTTGCATGCTGGTTAGGAACATACAAAATCGTGCCAAATATGCTGAAGACTCAAGTGAAAAGAAGGTTTAAAAAAATGATGTTTGAAGCTCGTGCTGTGTTTTTCCTCTTCAGTAGGTTACAGTCAGTTGGGATCCTGGAGACACCAAAGCAGCAGGGAAAGTACGAGACAGGTCAGGTGAGGTCAAGGGCATTTTCTCCACATTCAAGGTCAACCCAGATTGAGACCAGACTGTGTAAGATTTAATTCACTCACACTGGGATGGACCCCTGCTCTTTTCGATAAGTATGTTGGATCTTTAACATGCACAATGTAATCTTTCAGTACAAAGTTTGCTGCTGATTGTTTGTAGGGTTGTTGACAGTTTTGTTTGTTTGTTTTGCAGTTGTTCCTGCACAAGGTGTTTGGTTACCGTGGGATTGTGCTGTTTCCGTGGGTCGCCAGATTGTACGATCGAGACGTCGCCTCAAAAACTGAAGAAAGGTGAGAAGGTCATCAACAAGACTTCACTGGGGAATTAAGAATCATTAAGTCTTGTTTGCAATTGTTCACCAATATCTCTGACATATTTATAGAGTAAAGTAGAGTAGAGTAGCATCTACGGCCAGGTAGGACATCAGTCCAGTTGAGGCTGCTCCATTTACTTTTCCGATACACGTTTGAATGGAATTAAGGCAAATTTTGGCTTGATTTAATAACTTTGTTTTCTTCTATCCCATAACTTTCTAATTGAAAGAAGTCAACATTTATACAAGAGAAGTTTGCAGTATTATTATGACCTTTTACCTTGCAGTGAACAATGAAAATGTTCAAGAAGAATGCAGAATGAAAATTTTACACAGCAAGTTTGCCTAAAAGTATTGCACATTCTAATGAACTCCTTGCCTTCCATTTTATATCTTCCTACCCTGTCCCAAATGTCTTGTAGGAATCTTGAAGAAGGTCTGTATACAACAGCTGGTAAAGAGGTGAAGGGCAAGACGCACACATATTACCAGGTCCTCATCGATTCAAGAGACTGTCCCTACATCGTAAGTCTTGTTCCTACATCTTAGAAATCACGCAAGGGACTGTTCCTATAGTGTAAGTCTTGTTCTAGCCTCTGTAGCAGGCTTATAGAACTGGGGTTTTGGTGGTCTTCGGCTGTTAGCCTCCGTAGCAGGCTTATAGAACTGGGGGTTTGGTGGTCTTCGGCTGTTTTCTGATTAGCCGAGTTCTAAAAAACCGGGGTAATTCAACCAGTCTTGTTCCAAAATCTTAAAATCACTAATCACTCAAGGGACTATCCCTACATTGTAAGTCATGTGTCTGTGTCTCAGAAATCACCCAAGGCTTACATTGTAACTTGTTGATGTAAGTCTTGAGTCTACATCATAGAAATCACTCAACTTGAGTGATCAAGGGACTGTTTCTATATATGGTTTAAGTCTCGTGTTTGCATCTTAGAAATCATTCAACAAGGGACTGTCAACTTACATTTCAAGTCTTGTTCCTGTGTCTTACAGTTAGATAAGTTAAAAAAGAAAGAAGGCACAATGAACAGAAACATAAAATGTTGTCTGAGATGATGCAAGAGTCAGATTTTGAAAGGTTAATTTGTAGCATAAGTAAAGAGGGACATCTAAATGAAAAAAAAAATTATCATTAAATCTTCATATTTTGTTGCCAGCTGCCAGAATTTAGATATGGCTAATTTTTGAAAAATTAAGAATTGACTAATTTTCACATCAGACTGTCTTTCATCCTTGCCAGCCTGTACTGTTTTGCATGTTTGTTTGTTTGTTTGTTTGAGCCTTTGTTTATTCCTTGTCTTCCCCAGAGAGCACAGACAGAAGGAGTCACGTTTTTAGGGAACACAGAAAACAGTCGGTCCTTGTACGCAATACCAGGTGAGAGGAAACTTGCAGATTCTTCAAATAACTGAATTTTCGCCCAAGGAGACAATGGATTCTCATGTGGAATCCTCCTTCGTCTTGTTAGTAACATACAGATTCCAGTGGTTAGTGACCCTGCCTCTAGACCAAGAGGTTGGGAGTTCATATATCAGCTGTTGTTGATCACCCGACATGCTACTGGAAAGGATGGGACGTTGAGTTGTGGTCCATTGTGCTTGAGTTGTGGTCCATTGTGCTTGAGTTGTGGTCCATTGTGCTTGAGTTGTGGTCCATTGTGCTTGAGTTGTGGTCCATTGTGCTTGAAGAGTTCAGTTAGCCAGGGGTGCAGTTTGAGTAATGTATGGCAGAGAGTTCCAGTACCAGTCTAACACAATCCTAGGGAAGTGTGTATAGTACCTATTTATAGCAATGGACCTATTGCACTATTACATCACAGTTTGTTTACCTGTTCTAAAGAACATTCTAGAATGGTCAGTTAAAGAATAAAGATAATTTCTTGTTTTCAAAGTCAGGTATGGATGATTTTTGCTGGGTCTAGTTTTGTTGACACAGCATTACATGCCGCATGGGTGATTTAGTTGTGACATTAGACGAAAGTAGTACTGTATAAAGGCCTTATATTAAGGCTAATGCTACACAAACACACACCGCGCTACGCACCCCTGTACAATATAAACATCGATTGACCGGCATTCATTGCGGTAAACAAACTGTGACGTAATAATCCAATAGGTCCATTTTTGTGGTCCAAGATCACTAAGTTACACTAATAAATTATCCTTTCACTTTGTTCAGGTCTGGACTACGTGAGTCACGAGGATGTCCTCCCGTACACGTCGTCAGACAAACAGCCCATCCAGCACGAACTGTTTGACAGGTTCCTCACTGCACAGCCGGGCAGAAGTCAGTATACTTCACCTACTCTTGTATGGGGGCCTGCATGGGGGGGTCCCGACAACGCTCTACGCTGAATTCAGGAACCTCTCAATTACGCTTTACGATAAATTCCAAGTGGCTACAACGCATTACCTAGAATTAAAATGTGGAATACGCTCTATGCAAAATGGGTCAATTACGCTCTTCGTTGAATTAGAGCGGGCCGTCTACGCTCTACGTAGGATTAAAACGGCCGATTACGCTCTACGGAAAAGGGCATGCAGGCCCCCATGTATCTTATGTGACTTATTCGTCAGTGGAATTGTTTAGGTACAGGTCTGATATATGACAGACTATCTAGGTAGGCCTGTGTACGTAATACGTGTGAAATTTTTTTGTGACACCAGCTCTTAGAGTCAAACTTATTAAAGACATTGCCATGGCTGCCTTCAGACTTAGATTAATATCATTCTTAAGTTAAGATTCCAAATTATCAACATCCCTAAGACCTATGAACAAAAATGTTGTGTTTCCTCTTTCCACCCAAAAAAAGAGTCAGGAAACAGGAAACACAACATTTTTTCCCTACTCCTAACAACATCACCTTACCACTATGAATGGATTACTGATTCTCCTCTCTTCTTTCTCAGTACCGCCGTTCACTGCGCGGGAGACTCTGCGAGCGTGGCAGGAGAAGAACCACCCGTGGCTGGAGCTGTCCGACGTCCACCGCGAGACGACGGAGAACATCCGGGTCACCGTCATACCCTTCTATATGGGCTGCAGGGTACGAATACGATCATTTATTTTTTATTATTTATGTTTACCAAAGGAAAACATTGGTTTTTGCTCAGTCTCTTCCTCTTCTTCTTCTCGAAACAGTGACCTATGACCTGACCAATGACATGATTTGTTGACGTCTGTCACCATGGTGACTGGTGTTGGGTTACATAATGTTGCAATTTCATGGTCTGCTCTGCTTCTGTCACCATATAAGTAGTCATGAATGTGTTTGAGTAAGAATTAACAGAGCAGACCATGTCCGAAGGTAAACATCATGTATTTGCTTTGCAAATGTTACTTCTGACTCTAGTTCTTTTTGTATCTGTATCTGTGTAGCCGCTATAAGGCCTAGAAAAAATGTTGCTCAGGCGTTTTCCGTCTTATTTCAACAGGAAGCCCACAACGCTAATGTGTACTGGGTAAGTCAGATTTCATTTCCTTCTCGTAAGGCTGAAATCCCCTGGCCAATTATTCTTTCTTTCTGGCTACATTTTACTGTTTTTGAACCCTGCATTGTGAGTCTGGTGGAGACTATGTCGTGCCCACCAAAAATCAAATTTATGCATAACTGTTGTACTTACATACATGTATTATGTAAATAATGTTTCAAGTTTGATGTAGTTTGTATGATGTATGTCTAACTATAACTGGAAGACTAGCTACATACTTGTCTGTTTGTACTCGTATGCTTGCTAATGGAGAATATAAAGAACCTACAGCACCTACTGTAAATGTGTGATGACCTGACATGACTGAAGTGCCCCCTGTGTGTCAGTGGCGGTACTGCATCTGGCTGGAGAACCCTGGTCACCATCTATGTGAATATGTTATCTAATATTCTATTTTCTAATATATCTATAAGGATAACCAGAGCAGTAGTTGGATAGGGTAGACCATGTGGAGGTAAACATTATGTGATGACTGTGTGTCAGTGGCGGTACTGCATCCGGCTGGAGAACCTCGGCGAGGAGACAGTCCAGCTGCGGGAGCGACACTGGAGAATCTTCAGCTTGTCCGGAACGCTGGAGACCGTACGCGGGCGCGGGGTCATCGGGAGGGAGCCGGTCCTGTCGAAGGAGCAGCCAGCGTTCCAGTACAGCAGCCATGTGTCACTACAGGCACCCAGCGGACACATGTGGTCAGTCTGTCTGTTTGTTTGTTTGTTTGTTAGGGAGTTACTTTGAGGATTTGCAAAGGAAAACATAATCTGATGACCTGGATGATCTTGGATTACATTATGTAGCAAGTGGAAGCACAGTGTTGGAGGGGCTGGTCACTAGAAATATAAATGTGTTTCAGCAAGAATCAACAGAGCAGTTAAGTTAGTGAGACTAGACCATGTGAAGATGTATACAGGCATTATGCATTCGCTTTGCAAATGTTACCACAAAATTTGTAGTTGTTATTACTACAAACTTGTGCAGGGAGAACTCACACTGTGGGCCTGTTACTTTTAATTTGAAGTTTTACACAAATTCATTCCTATCAATGTTTTTTTGTTTGTTTTGCAGGGGGACATTTAGAATGGAACGCTCAGACGGCCACATGTTTGACTGCAGGATTCCTCCCTTCTCTCTGGAGAGCAAGTCGGATGACAACAGCTCCCCCCATGGGTTCGTGTAGGTATTGCATGTCCATGCCAGTTTCTGCCTTAGTGGGGGATCACGCAATGGATCTATTACATTATTACGTCACATTTTGTTTACCTGTTCTAAAGAACATTCTAGAACGGTCAGTTAAAGAATAAAGATTATTTGAAGTCAGGTGCATTTGATTTTTGCTGGGTCTAGTTTTGTTGACACAGCATTACATGCCGCATGGGTGATTTAGTTGTGACATTATACGAAAGTAGTATATGTAATAATGCTACACAAACACACACACCTGTACAATATAAACATCGATTGCCCACAAACTGTCCTGACATTCATTACGGTAAGCAAACTGTGACGTAATAATGTAATAATAGGATTATGTGTAACGCAGGTTCAGACAATGCCTCACCAGGACAATTCAAATGTTGTGCATGCGCATTGTGTTCTTTGTGTTGTCGTGGCAATGACCGGGCTTGCCCTCTGAGTTCTTTATTTTTCCCAGCATGCAATAGAATCTGTAATGAGGTCAGTGAAAAACACCTTCCAGCTCCAAGAAAAAAAAACTGCTGGGTAAGACAGCACAAAATGGAGTCCCTTACAATTAAGACGATAAATTTAAGGCAATAATGAAAGTGTTTTAAGAGGAAATTTTTAAGATTGAAGTTACTTTTGAATAGGGTCTGTTTGTTTCTTTTGAAATAAGTTGCACAAAACAAAGAGACAAGTTTGCTAGAAGGAAAGAAAAAAGTAGGGGTATCTCTGACTCTGTCCTTGTTCTGTGGAGTCTGAAGGTCATACAGCCTGCTGTGACCTTGACTGCAGCATGATGGGTTACCGGTAGTTAAAAACTGATCAATCAATGTTAATGCATTGTCAGTAGATGACATCATGCCTTAGTTATGGTGGAAAAATTAGCTTTATTTTGTTTCCCTTTTTTTGTAAATTTGGATATCTTTCTCAAGGTCAACAGGGTTCTAGCTAGTGCAAAGTAGCGTAATTTTGACCCCCTACGCTAAATTTTCCCCCCTGCGCTATAATTTTGACCCCCTACGCTAAATTCCCCCCCCCCCATGCTAATTTTTAATACAGCATAGGGGCGTTGTGACTGTATTTCTTTGTTCAAGAATGCCAGATCAAATGTGATCAAGGATACATTGTACATACCTAAGAAATAACATTTTTTGCCTTTGGGTATCCCTCAAATGACCTCTTTTTAAGCTCAAATTTTAAAAGCTCCGCTTCGCTCCCTCATCATGCGGCCAGTGCCACTACGCTAAATTAAATCCTAGCTAGAACCCTGGTCAAGTAGAAGTACAAGGTCAGACCTGTCTCCTACATGAGTGCTTCTCATTTCAGGGGACCTAAGAGAAAGTGAAAGTGATGTGCTACCATAGCAACCAGACAGGTCAAAGGTCGAAGATTACATCATTGCACAGCCAAGCAAGTCAGAAGTTCAGGGTCAAATGTTAAAGGTCAGGGTATGAATCTGGAAGAGCCAACAAATGTACATACAGTACAATAAAACAGCACAAATCACCCCTCTGTGACAGTGGTATGTTCCAGATGATCCAGGTTTTAGATAGGCTTGAGTCGTACCATGTGTAACTGGAAGTAGGGGTATCATGTATCACTTGGGAGAGGGGTAAAGGGTTATGCTAATGCTGCTTTTTTGTGTTGTTATTTCCTTTGTTGCAGGGGGAACTGAGAAGAAACCTTATATCTGACAGATATCAGAAAGCCAGCTGCCACCTCGAAAAAGGACCACATTGATGGTCGTCATGGCAACAGCTTGTGTAGTCCTACACACCTGCCAATCATTCTTGGTCACCATGGTGATATTGTGTCACCAGCGGCTGCCCATTGTGACAGCTTGTGTTGTCCTACACATCTATCAATCATTTTAATTTATTTCTTAAGAAATAAAGGGTAAGACCAGGTTAAGTTTGGTGGGGGGGGGGGTAGTGTAAAAATGCTGCACTGTTGAGTTAATCATCTCTCTGCTACACAGACTGTATAAGCAGGCTTCTTTAGCATAACTGAGCATGAAAAGAAAGGAAGTCTATGCCTTTATACATCTACAGAACCTTTTAAAACTATCATACATTACAATACATACCTAGTAACCTGAATAATCGTGGGAGTACTTCTTTACTTTGGCTGTCCACAGAACAATTTTGAAAGCGGGATATATGTTTGCAAGTAAATGTTATTTCAGCACAATCACAGTGGATTCTTCCCAAACATTTTTGGCTGCATCAGGGTGTAACAAACTCTAAAAGCAGCTGAAACTAAAGTAATGTTGGTGAGGAAATGCAGAAAGAAGTTTCCCTGCGAAAACATACATAATGTAGCTTACAAACCTGAGGAAGCTACCGTTATTCGAGACATAACACTGTACATATAGTTACTGAGACCATCTTGTGTATGCTGATGTTAACACTGAATCCTGTTGATAACTCATTTTCATCTGGGTCCAGAATTTGCTTTACATTTCCGGCCGCCCCAATTCAATTTTTTGGTTCTTGGATCTTTAGGAAAAAATGAAATATATTTCATACCTGGTAGTACAATGTTAGGGAAGAAATAGAGCCAGAAGTAAGGTTTCCTTCCAGCCTGTTATTTTCATTGTAACCTCTTGCTATAATTTCTGTCTAAATGATCTGAGAACCAAAGAATTGAATTGGTTCGGCCTTACATTAAAAGTCGAAGTTCGTACGTACAGTGCCAAGAAGTAAATGTGAACATCACACCGACATCTTGTCCTTGGTTTTCAATTTCAGTGAAGAAAAGATGAAGTCATGCTTCTCCAAGAACAGCGGTTAGATGTTTCAATCCATGCCTTGTACATTCTATTTAGTGTAGCCTTGAATGAATGAATGAATGAATGAATGAATGAATGAATGAATGAATGAATGAATGAATGAATGAATGAAAATAATTTAATGGACAAACAAAGCATTTCTCAGCCTATCCGCTGAATTGCATGTTGCTTCATATTTTTCCAATCAACATAAGGGGGTTAAAGGCTTGACTGGTAATGCAGTTATTAAAATTACCAAATATAAAGAATTTCTTTTAATTTATAATTACAGCTATAGAATAAATAAGAAAATGTAGAAAGTTTGGTCTCCCTGCATTCGACACAAATTAACCTTTAGTATGTTGAAGAATCCGTTTTTCAACCGTTTCTATTAATTACTAATCTCCAAGCAGATCATACGGTGGCAAGACAGTGTCCATTGGCCAGAGGAGTGTCCATTAGCCACCTTTGGTGACCATACAGACTCCTGGCTAATGGATACTGTCTTGCCACCGAAAGGGATCTGCTTGGAGATTACCTGTATTAACAGTATTTAACTACAGGGTTAGGTAGCAATCTGATTGTTAAACCATTCATGGGGGCCCGCAAGCCCTTTCCCGGCCGTTTTAATTCTGCGTAGACGGACGGCTCTAACATTTTTGCGTAGAGCGTGTTCGGTGTTTTAATTCTACGTAATGCGTTGTAGCCACTTGGAATTTATCGTAAAGCGTAATCGAGAGGTATGCGAATTCAGCGTAGAGCGTTGTCGGGATTCGGGACCCCCCCTTGCAGGCCCTCATTCATGGTAAGTGAGGATTGTCTCACAGAGCTGTTTCCAGTTTGCTGATATAAACTTTACCCCTCCCTACATAAGAGTGTCTTGTTGGTAGACGCCAGTTACTGTCTCCCTTCACTTGGTGCTTCTGCATGTTTTTCACTGCCTGTCTTCTGAGCTGTGTGCTGTAGTTCTGTTGTGCAAGTTTGGCTGCTCGCTCAACTTTCAACAATTTCACTCTTTCTGTTGAGGTGGAGGTAGCTGCTTGTTTCCAGGTTTGGCTCTGTTCTTGTTCCCAGTTTTGACCCCGATCTTGTTCCCAGCTTTGGCCCTGATTCTGTTCCCAGGTTTGGCCCTGATTCTGTTCAAAGGTTTGACCCTGTTCTTGTTCCCAGGTTTGGCTCTGGTTTCGTTCCCAGGTTTGACATTCAACTCCTTCCCAGGTCTGTCCCTGGTCTTGTTTCCCAGTTTGGCCATGGTCTTGTACCCATATTTCGCTGTCTTCTTGTTCCAACTTTTGGCCCAGGTCTTGTACCCAGGTTTGGCTCTGATCTTGTTCCCAGGTTTGGCTCTGTTCTTGTTCCCAGGTTTGGCCATGGTCTTGTACCCATGTTTCGCTGTCTTCTTTTTCCAACTTTTGGCCCAGGTCTTGTACCCACCTTTGGCTCTGGTCTTGTGCCCATGTTTTGCTGTCTTCTTGTTCCCAGGCTGGATCCTGATCTTGTTCCCATGTTTCGCTGTCTTCTTGTTCCCTGGGTTGGCCCCTTGCAGCATTTTCCCTGAGTATCATGGTACAGTCTTGAGACATCTCCAGGTTCCACCAAGGCGAGTCCTTGCAATCTGGTCCTGCTTCTTGCTCCTTTAAGGATGTTTTCACATCTTGCTCCTTCAATGAGTCTTTTTCAGAAGAGCAGACCTTCTGTTTCTTGGCTGCTACAGTATGCTTTCTTAATGGCAGTCCTATCACACACTGTTCCTTCTTTTCCTTCCCAAGACTTCTCTTGTAGTCACTTATTGTTATTCTCCTCAGTGAGTTTCTTATAACTTCTTGAGAATTTCCTCTGTAGTCTTTAGGTTCCTCATAAGACGTTTGTGGCCACTCTTCAGATTGTTCCTTCTGCTCTGCTTGCCACCTCGGCCCCACCCTGTCCCTCCTTGTTGCACACGTGCAGATTGATTGCTCTGCTATGTTTCCACTGTTTCCTGTGTGAAACGCTGTTCTTTGTTCCTTGTGAGGAACTTTTTGCAATCCTTCTGGCCTACACACACCCTGTACAGGGCCCTGTCCCCCTTTCCTATTCCCCTGCCATGTGTCTAAAGCAACTTTTTGTGAAAGGCTCATGATATTCTGTTCCTCAACTACAAAGTTACAGTCTTGTGGAGGTAGGAAATCGTCAGCTAACTGTCGACAAGAAGTCTGTGGTGGTGCGTTTTCGTTGGGAGGGCCGTTGTGTGCTTGTTCCCAGTGTCTTCTGGTTGCCTCTCGTTCCCACTTCTGTAAGTTTTTCCTTAGGACGGTCCTGCAGGCTGTGGTACGAGTAAAGCAGGTCAATTGACAATTGTCAATCATTGTGTTTTAAATTTTTATACACAGCCATACATACAAATACAACTAACACACACACACACACACGCACACACACACCTAACACACACATACACACACACACACACACACACCTAACACACACACACACACACCTAACACACACACACACACCTAACACATCTCACACACATACACACGCACACACGATGACACAAACAGCCACTGTTTCGTGCCATGTTCGCAATTACTACTATACTAGTACGGCAGTGCCGTTGTCCCAACCCACCATATAGCCCAAGCAGACCCACCTTCGCACGTCTGCACGGCGTAACCCCTGGGAATGAACCCCTCTCGCCCCGCCCTGTTCCTGACCCACACCCAATCAGCGTCCTCCTCGTTCAGCAACGTCACCGTCTCCCCTCGCAACGCCGTGACGTCATCCTCGTCAATGGCGCGAAAGTCGAACAGCACGGTGAGAGCCGGGCCGTGGCGAAGCCGCGCGAAGAAGCCGCTTCCCGCGTCGTCAACCGACTGTAGCGAGTCGTCGTCGGAGAGGTCCGGGGAATCCGGCGGGTCCTGCTCGCGTTCTCCTCGGGGGTATGTCCACCTGTCATTTGTATATTTGTACATTTGTATTACTCTCCAAGCAGAGGTTTGGGTTTTGGGGGTGTTTTTAGCGTGTTTTTAGGCTTTTATTATCGGGGTTTCTCTTTTGCACTGAATTTTTTTCCCCACCAAACCCAACCTCTGCCGGCACTCACCCCGGCAAAATGGAAAAATGGATATCCCTAATGATAATTTGATGGTTCCCGGGGAGGAGCACTGTCACCCTTCTTGAATAGGTTTGCCCCGCCCCGGGGTGAGTGCCGGCAGAGGTATTTTGATATGCCTTGTATTTATGCACTTATGTCAGTGGTAGCCGCTACCAGCCTTGTTGCTGCCTGGTTGCCACTTGTTAAGCACTGTTGCATTTAAATAAATAAACAAACAAACAAACAAACCTGTCCCCGCCGGGATGGCCGGCCCGAGGCGGTGGAGAGTACGGTCTTTGCCGGTCTGGTTTCCGCGGGAGCCTTCGGCCGAGCGGCCAGACGTAGCTGTACGGAATGAAGCCACGGTCGCGCCAGACGTTCGCCACACGCACCCAGTCGTCCGACCGGTACAGGACCCTCACCACGTCCCCCCGTTCCACGTTCAGTTGGTCCGGACGCCCCGACGCGAAGGTGTTGATCACCTGTAGCAACGGACCACGATATAATTCGTTATTTTAACCGTTATTTTCCGTAGAAATTTGCGTTTTGTTGAACGATATGTCGCACCATGTGCACACAAATTATTGTGGGCCAAGGAGGTTGGTATTTGAGTATTTTTAATAGAGAGGTTTTTTTCATGACTATCGTGGTTTTAGGGAACACTGAATATATTTCTTTCGTGTCGAGTGTCACTGAAAAAGCTTAGGGAGAAAATTTCGCTGCAAAAACTGTTACAAACACGTTTTTTGTTGGAAATTTCCAGTTTGGCCCAGTGAACACCTTTTGGAACGTACCGCACGTGTGCATTATTAAACCCATTCAACCTTCCCGTCCAAACAAGACTTCCGAAGGCTAAGATTAACTGACTGCATATATTATTTACTTCTGAGCACCCAAAATTAAATCTGTGCACAAGTGAAAATACATGACGTAGTTTAATTTCGGTTTTGATCACCACGGCCTGTACGTTCGCTGGGCGTCGCCTGGTGGCGCTGTGGATCAGCCGCTCCGCCTGCCGGTCGAAGACCGTGAACGGCGGTTCGTCCAGCTCGGGAGAGTTTTGGTCAAAGTCGGAGTCTGTGTCCAACCCCACGGGTACATTAGTGGTGTCCCAACCAGGTTGCCGTAGTTGAGTGTCCCAACCGGCTTGCCGTACATTTGTGGTGTCCCAACCGGCTTGCCGTACATTTGTGGTGTCCCACCCGGCTTGCCGTACATTTGTAGTGTCCCAACCGGCTTGCCGTACATTTGTATTGTCCCAACCGGCTTGCCGTACATTTGTGGTGTCCCAACCGGCTTGCCGTAAATTTGTTGTGTCCCAACCGGCGAGTTTTGCGTTGCTGTCCCAACCGGCTTGCCGTACATTACTTTCCCAACCGTTTTGCCGTACATTACTGTCCCAACCGTTTTGCCGTACATTACTGTCCCAACCGGCTTGCCGTACATTACTGTCCCAACCGGTTTGCCGTACATGACTGGCCCATCGGGATTGCCGTAGTTTCTCACCGGCTACTTTCTTACTCTTAGCATGCCTCTTGCGTCCGATCTCGGCACGTTTGTGGCCCCACCTAGCGGAGTTTGTAGCAACTGCAGGGCCAGGCGGCTCCTGGTGACACGTTGATGACGTAGGGCCACGGTAACTATGGTAACCCTCGTCCCGCTCGGTGCTGTTGTCGGCCTGCCACTTGGCGATCAGCTGGTCGGTAGACAGGGGCGGGGCGTCGGGCAGACCTGGGGAAGACATGTCAACGTTTCAGTTATTTGATTTCATTTTTATTTATTTATACAAGTTAGCATGTCGCCATTTTGGCGCTTTTCAAAGCTCCCTGTGTCGTACATGACATGACATGACATGACATGACATGACATGACATGACATGAGGAAGAGAAGTCAGGGCCAAACACCTTTTGTCACCGAAAACTCTGCTGTAAGTCCTTCTCTCCCTGACACCTCTAATCTCCAAGCAGATCCCTATCGGTGGCAAAAAGACAGTATCAAATTGGCCAGGCAGTATCCATTAGCCAGAGAAGGTCGCCGGCCACCGACAGTGGGATTAGCGACAAAAAAACGACCGTATATAAAAAGCTAACGATCATTCCCCCACAACCTCTGCTTGGAGAGTAGACACCTCCACTATTCACACATGGTTTCACGAACAGCCCAAGGCGATGTTTCCCGACTCATGAAAGTGTTGGAGGAGCGCCAGTAACGACCGGGAGGGCTACAATTAGCGTAACCAACTGGCGGGAATGATTGTCACAGTGTAGCTAATCTCACACATTAGCGCCGGCGAATTTGTTACATTTCACTTGCTACATACAGGCGATGCTCGGTAGTGGCAGTCGAGTCGTGTGGTGACATTTTAAAAAGTTGATTAGATATTCCAAAGTCGAGAATATTAGTGCTTTAAAGGTTACATATTAATCCAATACAGTGTCGAAGCCACGGTGGTATAACCAAGGAGCTTTCATGGTACTAGTATAACTGCCTTTAGAAGTAACGATCTCCCTCTACATCTGCTTGGAGGTGATGACGCAGGATGATTGACAGGTGAGTAGCACGGTTCCCAGGCTTCCCGCCATCTGACCTGATCTCTGGGCTGTGCATCGCCCCCGGGGCTTTTCTCACACTTTCCAATTCACTATCAGTCTATATACAAGCCTGTCATCTTCAGTCTATATAACATTACAAGTCTGTCAACTGTTATACCGAGATTTCTCTCAATGGATTCAAATAGCAGATTCAAGTGCATATTGACATGTGACAACCCATGCATTTTACATATGGAGGGTATTTTAAAAAGAAGCCTAATAGCTAAAAGGATTGTAAAAGCACATCCCCATTTCATGCTACCTAGTGTCTTGGGAGTTAGATTAGACCCATAGTATGTTTGTTGAATGCTAGACATATACCAGCCAACGAAAGGGTAAGTTACCCAGTAAGGGGCAGTGTAACCACGACGGAGCTATATAGATCCTCAAGTCGACCTATTAAAGACGTTACTACCTATATATATAACAATAGATATCATACGCTGTACGCCCCGGTTTTAACAATACACTGGCTCTTCAGATACAGAATATTGTTTACGCTCATGCCAAAAATTAAAAGGTTGGTTTGTTTTGAATAAGCGGTAAACCGGCTTCAGGTGTAACACATAGGTTTTGTGCAGATCTGTAAGACCAGGGTATAAGTTTCATTGATGGACTTACACCGGGAAGGACCCCAAACTCATATGGACAAGTGTGGTGGGTTCTTTAACGTGCTGGAGGTACCGGTGTGTACCGGTATTAAATAAAAGACGACTTAAGAGTCAAGGCTTTGAATTAAGTCGCAAAACGAGATTATACCACCTGAGATTCTAAAGCTTACCATCTTCAGACGTGTCTTAAGCCGAGGTTTAAGTCGTTTCACCCCGTTCAAAGGCGAGGTGACACTGGATAATACGCTAAGCGTCCTGTCTAAAGACGAGATGACATGAGGTAAGACGCTAAACCCCCTGTTGAAAGACGAGTTGAGAACGTGTAAGACGTTAGGCCACACCTGAAGGAGCGTGTTTAAGACTCACCTGGCAGACCGTCCCCCCTCCTGGCCAGTCCGGAACACAGACACGCCATGCGGCCGGCGTCTTCACCCAGGTGTAACCACAGGTAAGGCTCCTTCAGGTGTTGGCAGTGAAACATCGTCCATTTTTGCCGCCCTGTGCTCCTTTCCCAAAGGGGGCCTGCATGCCCTTTTTCGCAAGGCGTAATCAGGCCCTTTTAGTCTTCGTAATTCGTAGGCAGCCTCCTAACAAAATCAACGTAATTCTTAAAAGTGCATTAGCAGGAAATCGTAAAGTCGTAATCAGCTCTGAGAATTTAACGTAATTCGTAATCGGCGGGGAAAATTCTGCGTAATTCGTAATCACAAACCCCCATGCAGGCCCTCCTCAAACAATGGCAACCTGCCAATGACCCAACTGGTCCGGCGTGTTTTTGTTTTTCCCCAGGGGCCGATCGTTAGGAGTCCTTTGGGAGGCATGTATAGACAAGCCTGACTTGCCGCCAACCCTCCCTCAGGTCATATAATGCCCCCTCCCCGCCCTCTCTCCCCCAGGCCAGGTAAGGCGTGACGTCACAGGTGTGACGTTTTCCCGCTCCGTGACCCCAGGTGACTCCTAAACGAGCGAAGGGTTGCTGTTAACTTGTTTTTCAAAAGAAAGGCTACTAGTACTTGCTTTATGAAGCTGTAATTTTTCTCTAATTGATTTTATTATGATTTTGCTTGGAGGAGGCATTAGGATCTGCTTGGAGATGACAGACGCTTATCACATATGCAGTCTGAACACTCAAGTAATTCAATCAATCAAATCCAATCAAATTTTTATTCGGGCAAATACCCGAATTTCGTCCGTATTACATAGTACATAAAGCATTAAAAACAATGACACTCTTCATTGTGCACATGAAACAACATAGGCAAACTCACTATTAAGACATATTCGAAGACGGTTACACAATTAAAATCTATGCACAATATGCAATTATCACGTAGGATTTAGCTAGGTACTATATATATATTACACTACTGCTCTTGTAATGCCAAAGTTGTCAATAAAGCAAGGTCTCCAAGTAGATGTTGGGATTATCCGATAGATAGTCTGGGTGCCATTCTCCGTAGTTTCCTCCGGTTCCCTAATGTGGTAGTCAGCGACATTAGGAAGCTGGCGGAAGCTACGGAGGATGGCACCCAGGCTAGGGGGTAGTACACGGTAGTGATGTCCCCTAACCCACCTTAGTTAAAGCAAATGAGCAGTTGATGGTACTTAAGTAATCTCCAAGCAGATCTTTCGGTGGGGGAAGACAGTATCAAATTGGCCAGTCTGTAACCATTGAAATGATTACAGACTGGCCAATTT